CCTGTGTTTCGGAGAGGGGAGGGGGAGCGCGAGGAGGGAGGTCTCGGGGAGAGGGGAGGAGATGGGTGGGGACTTCGCAGTCGTCGAGACGGGCTCTAGAGCACTCAGCGAACGTTTCTCTCTCTCCCCCCCCCTTCTTTCCGGGAACTTGTAGACAACAACAAAAAGTATCCGGCTTCCTTTCGGGTTGCGTAGCTTTTTCTTTTTAAAATACGATGGAAGAAGAGAGACGGTCTCGCGCCGTTTGTAGTTGGTCAGGCGGGAGGTTGGTGGGTTGTGTGTCCGTAGATCATCGGATCGGATCGGGCTCGACGGGCCCGGGCAACAAGTTTATTTAAAAAAATAAAAAGCTTACTAGCGTTTGCGACGACGTGCGTTGTAAATCGAAACTTTAGGCCGACTATTTCCGTTCCCATCGAAGCAGCCAGGAGTGAGGGGTCACTCTCAAAACAAAATCTTAACACGCTTTTGAAACAAAATGCTTTGGTCCGTATACCGGGAGGGATTTAAAAAAAAATAATCTTAAAATTAGCGTTGGATAAATCGGTCCCCTGTTTAGTGCCGTTGAAAGTATCCCTTTCCAGCGCGGTCATGTCACAATTGTCTGTACTAAAGAGAAGTTTAAATGTATAAAAGGAGAACCCTCATGAAATGCTTTTATGTATAACTTTTGTTCTTCTCTCTCTTCCCTTCCCCTGTCCAAGAGCGTAGGAAGAAAGCATGATTCTAATAAATGTGATGATTCTGTTGTCTCAGCCTGATTTAATTATACCAAGAACAGGGACATAACAGGCCATTTTCCTGGAATGGTTTTAGTTAATATTCTTTACTGTTTGGTCATAGAAGTGGTTGCTTTTCACTTCTGGACTGCAGTTACAAAAGAAGTAACTGTTGTTTGATTTTAGATTTTGGCCTGTCCCACAAAATTATTTTTTTCAAGATTTATTTTTTTTAATTAAAAAAAAATAAAGCACAGCCTTACCTGTAGAAAAAAAAATTGGCTAGGAAGAATTAGTTGTCATCTTAGAGGGAGGAGTTAGCATTTTCATCACTGCGTATATTAAAAAGGGAATCTGTGATTGTGATTAACCATTGACAGGAATGTGACCGATGATGATGTCAAAATAGCAATTCTAATGACATCACAAGCACACGAGATTTCCTTTGGATTTGTTATAACAAGGAAATGCTCCTGCTAAAACTGCCATTCCCCCCACTTCTTTTTAGCAAGTTTTGGGATTATGAATGAATTAATTTTCTATTCCCCACCCCCCTTTTAGGGGACGAGTGCCCTAGTTGCTGATAGAGTAAGGGTAGCATTGTTTCAGCACTGTTCTGGGAAGAGTATGTAAACAAATACTTGGGAGCCTGAAAAGCTAGTTAATTAAGCCCGGCACCTTTTTAGAGTCCTGCGCATTCATTGATTTTTGGCAGGGGCACCGTGGGGGGGCTGGTGATGAAAAGGGGACGAAGTACAGAGGGCAAGCCTTTTACTGGAAGGGTTGTATGTTTTGCATGCGGATGCGAGTCGGCCTGCTGGCCTGGAACATACCGATAAGATGCGCTTCTTTTCACAGTGCACTCCTTGAATTCAAAGAGCTAAAAGGGCTGACTGAATCAGAAAAACAAACAGACTTCTCTTTCAATGGGGAACAGGCAAAAATGAATGCATGGTCATTATGTGGTCCTAAGACTCTGGGTACCAAAGGTTCCTTTTATTGGCACCAAGCCATTCTTTGGTGAAACACTTCCCGTGGGGGGTGGGGGTGAGCGTGCCTGCATTCTAGCCCCCCTGTAAAGCTCCCGTTGACTTTAATTGGGGCAAACGAAGGGTCTTGCACCCCTCAGAGTGCTGCTTATGATCCTCTTTTTGCGGAAGTCTTCATTGACCTGTGTAATAAAATATGGTGCAAAAGTTACCTTGGCAAATACAACAAGTTTTATACACACAGTGTAGTTTTTACAAACTTAGTGTGGTTTTCTGGGTGTGGTTTTTTTTTTACCTTGCCTTCATTTTAAGTTTTAAAAAGTTGAAACCTACGTTTTAAAAAGAAATAATCCCCCACCCTTTTTCGTTCAAACACAATTGAGACACATGTATCTTTTGCCTTTTTTTCCCTTCCAATAACAGTTTTTATTGAGAGAAACAATGAGTTAACAATAACAACAATTGGAATAACATGCTTAAATACAATAGTTTGAAATGGTGTTTTGAGCTGCATTTTTAGGGCACTGAAAATGAAGATTGCGGTGAAAAGAATAGACTGTTATAGGCTATAATGGTTGACAATTTGGGGGCAGCATGCAAGCCTAAGGATCTATCCGTTTTAGCGAAAATGGATTTCCCTGTAATTCCATGTTTACAAATAGGCCCATGTGCTTTCCATATGTGCATACATATACTGTTACTTCAATAACCTCTTAATGTTACTAAGGAACATGTTTTTACAGTTGGCTATGCTGCTTTTTTATTTCTCTGCAAGTCAGCTACCTTCCCCTCTCCCCCCCTGAAATAAGTAGGCGTGACCTAATCTTTTCTAGTATACTCTTAGAGTGTTAGGGTGAGCGCAGTGATCTCAGAAGTCATCTGCAATACTGGGAACCATTTCGCGGTAAAAGATACCGAGGGATTTCTGGCATTGCAATTTTGTTTATCCGTTATGCTTTCCATCAAGAATTGATCCCATAGTTTCCTAAACCAGACTTGAGTCGTGGGAGGATTGGGGTCCTTCCAGTGTGACGCTATTGAAAGCCTTTGCCTTTTTTTTCATGGTCAGCTTGTAGACTCAAATAGTAATTTTCCAAACAGGAGTAACGATGTATCTCTGAAGTTCCTCAGTTCATTTTAACAGATATTTAAAATGGGAGTTTTGCCAGTAACGGAGGCAGCATTAGAGCCCCATTAATTTACTTCCATCAAAGATGCCTTTTGTTAGGCAGCTCTAGAATCTGTTGGTACTGTTGCTTTGCTGCTCTGCTTGTTTTGTGTATAAACGAGAACTGTTTCTGTGAGACTGATTCTGTGGGCCAGATCTTTGCTGTTGTTCAATCAGTTTCCCTGGTTTTTATAAGCCATTCCACTTGGCTTCTGGCTATGCAGGTCTTATGATCCCAGGATAACCTTTTTGATGATTAAAGGGGGGGGGGCATCCTTCCTTTCTCCCTGTTTCACCAATGTAAAAGTTATTTTGGATGCAACCCTTTGCTAGTGTAAATCAAGTACGCTTGTTCTCACAAGCAATGCAAGTGCTGTGTTCCCTGTGGAATCTTATTGTATAAATGTTGAAAGTGATTTTTCAGCTGGTTCAAGTACAGGTTTTGCATCTGGATTTATTGTTTTATTTAGAACATTTGTTAGCCTCTGTTTTTCCTTACAGAGCTTAAGGCAGCTGACAACATAGTTAAAACACGTACAATAAAATACATTAAAACACACAAAAATTGAAATTTGAAATCACATTAAAACACGTACAATAAAATACATTAAAACACACACAAAAATGAAATTTGAAATCACAATTCAGGGCTTAACCAAATGTGGGCCTAAATAAAACCATCTTCAGCTGCCTCCTAAAAGATCGAATGTGAGGGGTCAGGACACCACCCCAGGGGAGGCTGTTCCATAATTGTGGGGATTCCATTGAAAAGGCCTTGTGTCCCAAACAAACAAGCTTTGTTGATTGATGGGACAGTCAGGAGGGCCTTTCCCTGTGATCTTAATTCCAGGACAGGAACATATGGTAGAAGATGGTCCTTCAGGTACCTTGGTCCCAAGCCATGTAGGGCTTTAAAAGTCAAAACCAACCCCTTGAATTGGGCTCAGGCATGGATCAGTAGCCAGTGTAATTGCTGTAATATTGGGGTCACACAGGAGCTCCTGATAGGTGGCCCCAACCAACAGTCTAGCTGCAGCGTTCTGCACTAGCTGTAGTCTTCAAACACTCTTCAAGGGTAGTCTCAAGTAGAGTGCATTTCAGTAGTCTCAGCTAGATGTAACTAAAGCATGGATCACTGTAGCTAGATCTGACTGACCCAGGAATGGATGCAGCTGACTTACCAGCCAAAACTTGGAAAAAGCATGCCGAACCACCACAGCCTCCTGATTTTCTAAAGCGACTGCTGTGACAGGTAGCAGTCCTAAATTGCAGAGCTGAATTACACATTCCCCAAATGTAAAAGTGGGCTTTAAATGCTACCTTGAAAGCAGCTGAAGGTTTTTTCCTGTTCATTTGATATGCAGTTGCTCTCCATAGAGCTGGTGGAGAAATGTGATGAGACATTTAGAAATCACTGAGGTTTCACTCACTGATTTTCCTTTAAAAAGAAGCCCTGTGAGTACCCAGTGGTTGGCCAGTTATGGGTTCCGTCCCTTACTGCTTAAGAATCTGAGTTGTTACAAGACCATGTGAGGCAATGTGTATCCCCCCCGCCCATGGCAGCTTTGCCAAGGAATGGTCAAAATGCATATTGTTGCATTTTGATGAGTGTAATGTTTATGTCACCAGTGTAAGTAGATTTACATAGTTCACTGCTTTCAAGCAGATTAACTGGGCGTAGCTGCATGTGAGGAATTTAACACTGATTCAGTGCCTGGCCTTGTTTAGTGGCTGACATGCAAAGCTGTTGATTAATCTTTGCATGCAGGTCTGTTCACAGCGGGGCCTGGGTCATAGACCTTGGATTTTACTAAAGGGGGGGGGGATCCAAAATCTCCCATACATTACCGTATAGAAGAGAACCTTTTTTTGGGAATTTGTTTAAATATGTATGCTGTTTGGTTCTCAGACTTTTGAATTCACATCAGAGTGTCGTATCTGTTCATTCTTACTCTCGTAAAGCCCCCTACCCCAATATTTTCCTAAAAAGTACAGATTTGTTCTTGGATTGTTTTATGGACCATGTTTGGCTTCACCGAGGTGGTATAATTTTGAAACATAATTCTTTATT